CAAAATCACTCCCAAATTGGTTGTGATTTGGCCTGGATTATTTTTTTTCCCAGGAGAAGGCTGCAGTGGGACATACTGGGTAGCGTTGCATTATATTTGGTGGAGCTGACTGAACCCACGCAGACCCTAGGGGTAGATGGATAGAGGCCGAATTGAGACCGTGGCTGTCCACCGTCCAACAAAAGTCCTTCAAGCCGCCTTGTGTGTGTGTCTGAACAGCGGCAGGGTACGGCCTGTGGCTGTATTAGCCAGCTTTCCTCTCTTTTCTCCTGTCCTTCCGCTTTAACCGGTGCCTTCCCCACAAAAATAGAAAACAAGTGAGGTTGCACAAGGAGTCAGCAAAGTCTGAAATGCGTTTCTCCTCTGGGTCACTGCAGTGTCTGCATCTGTAGCAATAATAGAGAACAGTGGAGATGACTAGCTGCAAAATCTGTCAGCTTCCCGCAGGGCTTGCCGAGCTGCATGCTTCTCCTGGATGTGATGTTTCCCTTGGCCTCGGTACCATTTTTGAGGAATCGTCTCTCTTTGACACACCGGTCACATGAGAGTGCCCTGTTTGGGAACCTAATAGATGAAGTTGTTTAGGGAGGTGTTGCATTAATGTCTAGGACCCAAAGTCCAGTAATCTCCTGTCAGAACCACTTCCTTTCCCCAGAGATTGATGCAAACTGCCCTTGGCAGTGCTGTGCTGTGCACCGTTGCACATGGGCTGAGCCAAAGTGCGTGCCCATATTCTTGTTCACCATATGAATCAGGAAGGACTTCTTGAGCCGTGTTCCCTAAACACGTGTCACTTGATGCTGTGATGATATAAGGGATGGTTCTGGGGAGAGGACCCCTCTGCTAGCTGACAAATAATGACCAGGCCATTTCTGGAAATGAATGAATAGATTTGTTTAAACTTTTAGAAGCAAAAAAAAGAAGAAAAAAAACAGCCCGGTATTTTTTAAACCTAGATTCTGTCTTATTGACTCTGTTCAGCTGTGCAATGATTTAATGTGTGTATGTGTGTGTGTCTGTACATTGAGAGATGCATCCAACTTTTACTCTTTAGCGAGTGTTTGCTAGGGTATTGTTACTATGCTCTGATCATTTCCATAATACTACAAGAATCCCAAAAAAGAAAAATGAGAAACCCACTTTGTATGAACCAGAAGCCAAACTCTTCTTCCCCTAGAAAACACAAGCAAAAATGGGAAGGACTTTTGGCAATAGACTGTCCAGATAAATATGCCAGATTCCTTGCAAACACAGTTATTAGAACTAGTCACGCTGCTGTACTCAGGCGATTAAAAGCTGCTCTTAAATGTTGATAAGGACTATAGTATCAGCACAGTCGCTATATGTGATCGGTGGTATATGTGTGCGTGTTGAGAAGGAAAGGCTATTTTCTTAGATTTTCTGCTTTGCTGATATTGTAAACTATATGACAGATGGGTCAAGTCCTGATTGCCGCATTCTAACATTTGGAATAGCAAGTAACATATTTGATAGAGCTGGCAAGTTCTTATATATGATTCAACCCAGAATATAAAAGCCACTAGAATTCCAAGTCAAAAATAATTAAATGAGCTGGAAACAATCAGGAACCACACATTTTTAAGTGACAGATTTTTTTACATGTTTAAATTGCACAAAGAATGCAAGAATATCTTATAGCTCCCTTTCACCAACAGTGGTGTTTAAGTCTAAAATCTGTAACTGGTATTTGCAAAGCAATTAATTCCTGTGTTGTTATGTTAGTATTAAATCTGCAAGCAGGCATGGGGACCCTAGCTTTAGTTAGCAGTTCTTTCCTTTGGGGCGGGGGGGGGACTCGAGCAATGATAGTATATCACATTCCTCCAACACAAGAGTTAACTAAATGATTATACTAAACTCTTCCTTTAGCACTTGACTACATGAAATACAATTAGCATCCACTTTGAATTTTAAGTGTTCTGGTTGCAAAGTGCAGTACATTAGGATCTGCAGACTTCCCAAATATTTGTTGTTAAATGGTGTCATAATTGTGTAATCCTTTAAGTCCCAATAAGCCAAAAACAGCAGCTTATTCCATTGGTATTTTATCATTTCTGCTTATGTTTCTTTCAAAGTTTCCATCTTTGTGTCACTGTGTGTGAAGTCACGTGTCTCTTTACTTTTGGTGTCTCTCTCCATCACTTGCAAACAGCTCGTCCATCCAAGCCTAAGCCACCGGCTGGGCCACCACCCTCCACTCAAATGCAGCCTAACATGATAAATCAGATGCGCAAAGGCATGCCTAGACAAACACCAAGTACTGTAATAGTCTTCCTTTCTTCCATTTAACAGTGTTCTAGCTTAGCAGTTTCTCGCTACTCTAGTTTAGCTTAATATTAGAAAGCTATTTCTAACGCGAGGCTTTTGCAACTATCTGTAGGCTTTTAGAAATTTAGAGATAGCATTTATTTCAAAATGTCCACATTTTTTTTGTCTAGCAATGTCTGACATATGCAACATTTTCAAATATCAACGTCAGCACAAAATAACATTGTTGTTGCATAACATTTTGCATGATAACTATAAATATGTATGAGCTTTAAACGATGGTGTATGAAATGTTTGATAAGTATATCGTATACGTTTCATTTAACTGTCAGTGCTCCAGCTATTTTAACAGAATATTCTGATGTATAGTAACTTACCCAGGGAAATATTTAAAATAAGAAAAAAAAAATTAAGATTGACATCTGCTGGCTGCCAAAGTTGTATAAGCATCAATATTTTCTTTAAAGACAGCATCTCCGAGCAGTTGTTCTTATTAACACTTTTGTCTTTTAGTTGTGTTGGAGAGCAGATCACTGCCACGAGTGAGTGCAGGCCTCATCCTGCTCCCCTTGAAAGCAATGGCAACACTCCCAGTCACGTCTGTGACGTAAAATCGGGGGCAACATGTTCTGGAAAGTTTTTAGCAGCCTGTTGTTGCACAAAAGAAAGAAGAGGCAGTTCTCAGCTTCTGCTGAGGAGCTTGAGTGGATGCTTGAAAGAAAGTGGAGTTAATAACTGGCCCTCTGTTTGGTATTCACTTAAGACAAATTTTGAAAGAGAAGGCAGGAGGATGTGGGGTGGGGCGCGGGACAGTGCCCATATTGATGGGCCAAACCAGCAAAACATTTACTGCAGTTGCACGAGCGCTTCAGCGTGTCAATAGAAGCAAAGGGATTAAGCGCCTGCAGCTCCCCAGATCCTCTTGGATACAGAGATACTCAACACTGCCAAAAAACAGGCCGCAGACCCGTGCCCAGGTGCCTAGACGTGGACGTAGTACCCTGAGTTCCAGCTACCGATGTTGAAAATCTCAGCCACGACTTATCAGAAAGCTCAGCAACTTTCAGGATGTAATCAAAGACCGGTCTAATAGGGAAGATTTCGCGAGGGCGGTGAAAACTTGACCCTATTGAAGCAATGTCACAACTGCCATTGCTTTCAACGGGGCTGGGGTTTCACTCATCGTTGTTTGTAGAGTCTGATTCAACATAGCCTTTGAGTATGTGCTTAGTTTTAAGCCCAAGCTCAATCAAAGAAGTGGGGCTGAAGCACGAGCTAACCGCTCAATCTGTAGTCAGGGTTAAATTTTCAATAGGGCCTGAAGATGCCAGGTGCCCAGCTGCTATTGAATTTCAATGGAAGTTAACCTACCTGCTGGCTCGGGACAGACTTACTTGTCTTCCAGCTCTGCGAAGCCATGTCAGTAACCCTCATTTTTAACATTTGCTTAAGTTTTAAATCCTTTTCCTTCAGTTACCCTGGTGGGCACTGACAAAGCGTGCATGGGTGGCACTTTTCCCTCGGTTTCTCCAGAGCCGTGCTCAAATCCAGTATCATTTTGCCTTATAGCTTAGACCCCTGAGCTGCTCCTCCGGGCTGCGGCAGTCCGGAAGGGCGACCCGAGAGGGTTGGTTTTTAAGGACCCATGTCACCGTTGCACTTGGCCAGCTCCCGGCATCTTTCAGCCCATATCAGAATCCTATTTAAAGCATGCCATTCTTCCTATATTTATTTATGTGCTTTCTAATGAAATAAACCATCTGTGCCAATTTATTACTCTATATAGCTTTTAAAATATGGATGCATAACAGTAGTGCAAGATACCCTGATTCATTTATCTTTTTTTTTTTGTATTCTGTTTGGAAAGCTTAGTGAAAGCTGCAAGGTAGGATGAAATAACTCCCCGTTTTCTTCACTTGCCTGCAGTATTTCAACTCTTCCGCAGGGCAGGAGAGAATTATGCTTTTAAGTCATGTCTGTTTTCCCATAAAATCATGCTTATAAATACATGGACAGATTTGTTATTCTGTCGTTTCTGGTTCACTCCAACACAACTCCCTTACTTTCAATGGTCTTACATCCTCAAGTAGCACAGTGATACATCGGGCTCCAAATTTTAATTTTATAGAGTGCAACTCCCCACTTCAATGGTTTCTACCAAGTTGACTTCTTTTTAATGCCAGCCATCCTCCTGTATATCTCTGAAATGAATAAAATCTTTCCAACCAGTAAAACCTTAAAGTGCATCCCTGCATCACATTGGCATTAATGCCTCCCTGTTACATTCAACAACTTATTTTAAAAGATGCCTTCAAACAGAGCTTGGGCAATGACATGTATCCACCTAATAACTAATAGCACAGTCTAAACAGAGGCATGGATAGTGCCGTATAATAATAAGTAGATGCTGTCTCTAGGGAATTTAACGCGCACAATTTAATGAACGAATGAAGCGTTACCATTGCAAATGGAAAGTAAAACAATTTGTACAGTGTTTTGAAAATTTGGAGCTGGACCACTGCGTTTTCAGAGTATAATAACGAATGTGGCTTTATGGTTTGCTCGGTACTAATGACTAGCATTTAACACTTGCATGAAAAGACTTTTAAAGTTACTAAATATGACGGGATTTTATTAACCACTAAATCTGTTGGCCGTACGGCTAGCCTATCCGCCTGCACTCCATTTTAACTCAAGTTCTTGTACTACAGAAAATGTAGGCCGGTTAGTCACACCTGCCAAAAAGCTAGAAGACACAATCCGTCTGGCAGAGCTGGTAATTGAAGTCCTGCAGCAGAACGAAGAACACCATGCAGAGGTGAGCACCGTGCTCTGCGTTGTTACGTTCCCATAGTCTGAGCAGGAGCTGGTTGGTTTTAATAGCCGGGTCCGTTCCCGTCGCGGTTGCTGAACAAGGTGCTTTCTATCACTGTTCAAGCTGTGCGGCCGGATTCAAGGACAGTGTTCGAATGTAATTAAAGGGGAATAAAACCAACTGTTTGGAGAGGGCTTTTTCAAGCCAAAGTGGGCTGGATTCTGCTTTCACTTACAGCGACGTGCATTCTTCCACGAGTGTCGGTGACAGCCAAGCGTGGCTCAATGTATTGATCGCCAGAATAATCGCACCCTAACACCTGTGCACTTTTGAGAAGGGCCACGTGTTTCAAAGCCTTAGGGTTGTACATCCAGCCGTCACCACTTGAGTCTGTTTTCGGCAGGCAGTTGCCGAAGCAGCATTCGGTTTTTTGCCCTTCGTGGCTGTGGCCGAGAAAGCCATCATAAATGTCCAGAACGCTTTTTCTTGGGTTTGTTTCTTCATTTTAAAATAGTTTTTAATGTGTTTTGCTTTTTTACTTGGCGTTGCTAGACACGGTAATGTTTTAAAAGGCTGTTTTCACGCTGGCTTTTCTGTCGGCCGCCCCTCGCTCAGCTTGTTCGGGTTTTCTCCGTTGATATTTGCTGAGGCTGCAGTGACTCCTTCGGCGTTCCCGATCGGATAGGCTGCCCAACACTTCCCAAAGTGAACATGGCTCTGCCCTTCAAAACGTGCTCGCAGGGAGACGCTAGTTGCAGTAGCACTTTTAAACAGGGGAAATCCCTATATCACAAAAGCCCGTGTATGCGAGGACCTCAGGAGCAGAAGGCTTGACCCTGTCAAGAGTTAAGCTCATGCGCGCACCCACGGATGTGGTCCCACTGACATGATCTGGATCTCAGTGGAGCTACTCAAGCGAGCGCAGTTGCTTACAGGCACGCGAGTGTTTAGGATCAGCAGTCAGCTCTTCCCAAGTCCAATTCACTGTGATAATTTTTTTTTTTAAGTTGATCATTTTAAAATTAAGATTTACCACTTAAGTGTTTATAACTTGTTACATTCATTCACTCTTTTCTCTTTTCCTTCCCATTTATATATATATACATATATATATATATATATATATATATATACACATATTTATATATTGCATTGAATACATTTGATAAGTAATTTCACAATCACCTAAAACCATTCCACTGTATATTAAATTTACAGTACAATTTAACTTATTTCTAATACACGACAATCCAGAAGTCCCAACTAACTCCTGATTGCATATTTAAATTTCCTCCCTGTTTTTCTACTGTTCATTCAATCTTGGATGATCCTGGCAGGGGAAAGAGGTATGTGACTAAACTGAATGAAATGAGTCACTTCCTGTCATATTTCGTGCATGCCCTCTTAGTGCCATGTTTCCTAATGGGATTTTACCTGGGTGATCCTTGCTTTGTAACTTTAATCCAAGGAATGTAACAGCAACTCCACGTGGACTGCTTGTGGAATTGGTAGCCCAACACGGCAGGGGAAATGCGGGATACGTATCCAGTCCATGCATGTAGCAATGGGTCTATTTTACAAGCGCTGCAGTTACATCCCAACACAACCCTACCTGCCTGGAATCTTTCCTCAGCCTGTTGTAAAACCTATGTTGTTTTGTATTTTCCTGATCTCTAGTACGCCATGGAGTAGACTGTATAATAAACGACTGAGTAGAAGGATGCTAGTCTTCCTCTAACTTTGTCTGTATGTGTATTGTGCTGGATATACAGTATTTATATATAGAGAGAGACGATAGCCCGGAGAAGAGAGAAATAATCTTTATTTTCACAGAGTTGAGATGCTCCCTGTGTAAATCAGAACGCTGCAAAGATGTCTATGAAATGAGGTAGGGCCGCCTAAGGGGAACGCATATTTTATTGCATTCATCACCTTCATCACCTTCATGTGATGCATTGTTTTTAAAATCCAGGTTATTTTCATACTGGCAACTTCAGGGTGCAAGAGGGCCTAATATGGGCTTCTCTTCTCTTCTGCCCGCTACACTGAAAAGACCCTTAAAAGATTAGAAATAAAACACACGCTTTGTAGCTTGGGCATCAGAAGGGTTTTGTTAGTGAGAGCAGATTTGCACCTATTTTATTGCCAGGATCACGTTTTTCCTACGCCCCCATTTCAGGGGGGATCCGAAGGGTGACGTTTCATTTATCCTATTGCAGAAGTCCAACACCAAGTCCTTATACCGCTTGATTTATGCCTGCAGGGTATAAACGGGATGCTAGTGGCGCCTCTTCTGCACAGGTGTGAATTTCTCCCAAACAATAGGTTGCAAGTTGTTTAACCACGTGAGTTTTGTGGTGCATGCACAAACACAGCCCCACAATTTGCCTTGTGATCGTGCAGTATCTGGTTGGGCTATTATAGGAATTTTCCAAATGACTGCATTTTGTTCAAAGGAGGCAACTTCCAGGATGTTTTTTCTGGGAAGTAATTTGCCAAACATGTTACAAACGGTGACCTCTTAGAGTGTCAGCATCACTTCTTCACCATAAATATCTTCATGGTAGCATTTAGGGAGTGCTGGACTTTCTGCTTACTTCAAAGTAACTGAAGTCTACCCTTTTGAATTCAGGTAGGGTTTTAAAGGAGTTTTCTGTATACCTGCACTGGATAGATATGACCTGAATATCTCCTTTGGCTATCCCCAAAGAAAATGAAGTTGGATTTCTTATTGTGGAAAGGCTGCAACCATTACCATTTGCCTGTTAAGATGAGCCCATTCCACTGTTGTATGCACATACATGCAACACACATTCAAACCCCATCAAGTAAACCTAAACTGAAACCACCTTTACCATTTGGAACAAAAAGTTTAAAAAGAGTATTAGCATGGAGAAATCATTTGTTTTTATTATGCGAGAGGCAAGGATTTCTTAGGGTGATATCTTTTATTGGACCAGCTGCCTGGGTGCATAGAGTTAGACGAGCTTTCACATAGCCCAGACAAACATGCAGAAGAAACTTGCCTTCTATAATGGGTGTGCATATATAATATATAACAGCATGAGTCTTTGCCATTGTGTCATTTGTCTCATCAGGTGGCTCCAAACTGGATCATCTTTCACCTGGATGAGTCATGATAAATGCCATAAGACTTCATGCATTTTTAAACTTTGCCTTCTCTCTCTATGTATATGTATGTGTATATATATATATATATGTGTGTGTGTGTGTGTGCGCAACTCTATTGAAGACACACATATATATATGTGTACCCGTGTGTAAAATATGCAGTGATAGGTGTGTTTGTCTAGAAGGCAAACTTCATTTTCCTTCCATCATGTTGAAATCAAAGCAGGTAAGTAGATGGTAAATAAAATTAAACTTTACCATCTGGAAAAAAAAAATTGAGTAATGAACTGCTATTGTTCTTATTTCAAGAAATTACTGCCTTACTGCAATTGGGAGAGGGAATTCTCGTGAGTCAGAGGCTAATCCAGCAGAAATAAATGTGACTGTTTTTTACAAAGTTAATCGTATGCTTTGCCTGTTAATTTCTTTAAGGGGAAAAAAAACAAACCACAAACATTTTTTCTTTTTCATGGAAGCAGGTTTTTATTGCAGGACTCTGAAGTAATTATGTTGGGATTTGTTGGAGAATACATTCTTTCACTCCTGCCAAAAATGTTGATTTTTGCTCATCCTTCATATATAGAGTTACCAGCAGGATTCTTAGCTGCCAGATACACCCAGTAATAACTTGACAAGGAGACAGTGTGGCAGACTCTTAAGAAATGAAGGCCTGGCCAGAAGAAATGAGTCAGTGCAAGAACCAGCTCTTTCATCCTTGTTCAACAAAATAAATAAAAAATATATCTTTTAGAGGGATATTGTCAACTACCATAACTTTGATTTTTTTTTTCTCTATTTTAATTTTTTTTACACCTTTGGGAGGAAAAATTGAGCAGACATTGAAAGCAGAATGGGCTCCTGCCACCTTCCCTTCAGATGATCTGGCTGTTCAGAAAAAATAAAATCAGAACAATATACCCAACCCGTCCCATTGGCAAGATCACGTCGAAGCGGCATTTTCATGTTCTTCGTCTTGTGCTTCTTTTTTAATGTAGCCGCCCAATCGGGATGAGCCATTGAACGGCTGTGTGGAGCCACTTCACACCGGCAGCAGCTTTAAAAGAGCTTCTCAGCAAATGCCTTGCTAAAAGTCTAGGGCCAGCGTTAAATCTGACCCGGGTTGGCAGCTGGAGGAACTAGGGTGGCGTGAGCTGGCCGACAGCTCCAAGCACCGGTTTAAAGGAACCAGCGCGCTCCACACCCTTGCTCTCCGGCACCTGGATGTTCGACCGCGTCTCTGCCCGGGGCACCGAACGTGGTGGCTGCCCCTCCGGCAGCCCACCTGTGTCCAAGCGAGCAGCTTTTTGGGGAGGTGACGGCACAGTTGGATTTCTGTGCGTGTGCACATTTGTTTCCTGACTAAGCAGCAGCACACTTCGGTATCGTCCCTGGACCAAGTCAAGAGGCAGTGTAACTGCACCCTAAATCAGGACCCTCGCCAGCATTGCATAGCAGTGGCTGCATGAGGGCCCACTCCTCACCTCCCATCCCTTCCCGCTCGCTAGAGCAGGAGGGGAAGAAAACTGCTCTGCAAGGAACGCATTCCCTTAGGCCAGCGCACAGAGTTATAGGCCAGGGCAGGGTTGATATAGTGTTATTTATTTTAATATAATTACAGAGCACCTTCATGCCACACACACACATGCATACCACACCCCTGCCACACGGGTATCTCCTTTATGCATGCATACCTGGCAGCTGGGTATGAGGGAGATAGACCTGGAAAGGGATTGTGCCACAGCCGGACACACTGCTTTGGAGTGTGATTGTCTGTGTGACAAAGCAGCCCCCGTCCCTCTAATGGGAGTTGTCGTTAATTTTCTGCAACCTTCTCAAAAGGAGAAGTGAAGAGAAGTAGTGCTGCTCTCATTGATTGCCAAGCAAAATAAAGACGAAGTCCATTCTGCCTGATCATGTCTGCCAGTATCTTCTTTTCATCCTTTCAAGCGACCCAAGTATACCTTCCGGATTGCCAAGTTGTCTTTAAATTCTCGGTCATCTTTCTTCCATCTTTTGAGTCTGGTGCCTATGTTGTAGGTTTCCTTTGCTTGGGAAGTCCTGGATAGAGCTTGGTAGAGAAAGTCGTTAAATCTCAGAGTAGTTTCCTCTCACCCCCAAATTACTGCACACGGTCCTATTGACAACACTGCTCATTCTGCATGTTCCCAGCCAGAAATGATTACTAAACACGCATGCATGCATTTGAAACACATTCACATCTAAGCCATGTGTGATGTGAATGTCACTTCAGAAAACATGTACAGTGGACTTTAAGGACCCATGTGCATGAGAATGAGTTACTTCACTGATATTTTTTGGTTTTCACGTGTTATATGTAATACTCCAGCAAACAGAAAAATCCTGGTAAAATCCTGGCTTGATTTGGAGGCTTTTATCCTGATCTCCTGCCAGGTCTATGTAACAGCTCTAAAACTGATTTCATAGGAAGTGGCCCTAAATTATACTAATGTATTTAAATAGCTTTATATCTAACCCTGTCAAATGAAAGGTGCTGTCTTAATTGTTACTGGTGGTGCTTGGAATATTTCTAACTGAGATCCAGAGACATTTTAGGACAGACTCTGCAATCATAGGCTTCTAAGCATTTTCAAGATGAATGGTAATAGCAAGCCCAAATCAATTTTGAAAACTGTGGAAAAAAACAGCAGAAAACCCACAAACACAGTGAAGAAACTCCCAAATTCCTATACTTTAGAATAAGAGCTGGTAGACCTCTCTGGTAAATAGCATGATTAAAGATGGATTTAGTGAGTTATTGTAAACTGAACAGACACCCCTTCTTTGCTTTGGTTCAACTGCTTACTCTGCAGTGCAGTTCGGAAAAATATCCGCGACAAGGCATTC